CCCCAAAATACAAGAATATATTTCCAAATAACCATAGTCCCACCATCATTATGTGAAAATGCTCTTTGCTCTACCCACAGCTAATGTAATACTGTTTTAGACCTAATAATCTGATAACTGACCATCGAATAATGACATCTTAAAGTTTTATTTGTATTTTTTTCAGTGTGAGAAATGTAGAACAACTTTTGATGTTTCAGACGTATTCAATTCACTATTGTTCATATCCTTTTAGCTTGCTCTTTTTTCTTTTTTTTTTCCTTTTTTTTTTTTTTACAGGTGTTGGCCATTTATTTGTATAACTTTTTTTTAAAATAAATTTTATTTTTATATTCCCCATACAATTGCAACCCTCTTATTTTGACCCCAATCCCTCCCCTCCCCTCCCTCCCACGCCCCATAGTGTGTCTCTGGTTCATAGTTTTTTGTTGATTTTGATATTTTCTTTCTTATAGTTATTCATTTTCCTGGTCCCTTAAGTTTTCTAGATTCCTGCTATGAGTGAGACCATCCAGTATTTTTCTTTTTCTTTCTGGCTTATTTCGCTGAGCATGATCCCTTCCAGCGCCATCCATGTTGCTGCAAATTGCATGTGTTTATCTTTTTTGAATGCTGAGTAATATTCCATGGTGTATATGTACCACATCTTCTTGATCCAGTCATCTATTTTTGGGCTTTGGGGTTGTTTCCAAAGCTTAGCTATTGTAAACAGTGCTGCTATAAACATAGGGGTGCAGGTGCTCTTTGGAATTGATGTTTCTGTGTCCTTTGGGTAAATACCTAGGAGTGGAATTGCTGGGTCACATGGAAGCTCTATGTTTAGTAGGTCCAGAAATCTCCACACAGCTCTCCATAGTGGTTGGACCAGTTTGCACTCCCACCAACAGTGCAGAAGAGTTCCTCTTTCTCCAAACCCTCGCCAACATTTGTTGTTGCTAGTTTTTTTAATATGTGCCATTCTCACTGGTGTAAGATGCCATCTCATGGTAGTTTTGATTTGCATTTCCCTGATGACAAGTGATGTTGAACATTTTTTCATATGCCTGTTGGCCATTTGCATTTCCTCTTCAGAGAAGTTTCTTTTTAGCTCTTCTGCCCATTTTTTGACTGGATTATTTTCTTTGTTGTTGTTGAGTCTCATCAGCTCTTTGCAGATTTTTGTGATCAGTCCTTTATCATTAGTGTTGTGTGCAAAAATGTTCTCCCAGTTGGTGGGGTTTCTCTTTGTTTTTGTTATTGTCTCTTTTGCTGTGCAGAAGCTCTTTAATTTGATGTAGTCCCAGCTATTTATCTTTGCCTTCACTATCACTGCTTTGGGTGATGTGTCTGTAAAGATGTCTTTGATGTGCATATCGCGTAGTGTTTTGCCTATATTTCCTTCTGTGTATTTTATGGTTTCAGGTCTTATGTCTAGTTCTTTAATCCATTTTGAGTTGATTTTTGTGTATGGTGTGTGGTAGTGGTCAAGCTTCATTCTTTTGCATGTATAGCTTGCTCTTTTTTCTTTTGTATTTTTCTTATTGATTTGTTGCAGATCTTTATATTTGAGAAAATTAACCCTTTTTTCTGTTATGAATTGCAGATGATTCCTCCAGTTTGTTATTCATCTCAACATTTACCTTCAAATTGCAAAAGAAAATACTACATTTTTTATTGTAGTCAAATATATTAAACTTGTTTTTTATGGCTTCTGGGTTTCATTAGAGTTTTAAAAGTTTTCCTTAAGAGATATCTTGAGTTGTGGTTATGTTTGATTTTTTGTGGTCATTTGGTATTGGTAAGGAATTTAATCTACTTACTAAATTACAATAATATTAAATCCTTCAATTCAAGCTAAGTAAATGTCGGAGTAAAAAGCAAGGGAAAATAATAGGTTTCAGAATCCAAAAGTCCAGTTTGAATTTTAGTTTGTGCATTTACTAAAGTCATCTAAGCCTTGTTACTTTTCTTCCCTAAGTCTCAACTTTCCCAGCCAGGCTTTGCTGAGTTCTATTCTGAAAAACAGAGTCTAGTCTATGAGAGATTCTCAATATTAGCTCCTCTCTCTCCTCTTTCCCTAATGTCCTGCATCAAAAATTAATTTGTTAATTAAAGGCATATATTTAAATAAACAAAACAGGATTTCTTTTCAAAAGTATATAATTTAAATAGTAAACAAAATCATCTTTTATTTTTCTTCATAACATCTATGAAAAGAGTGAAGGCTGAATTCTTAAAGATATTCTTTAAGAACTCCTAAGCAATAAATATAGCAACTATTAAAAATCCTTCATTTGAAAACAGTTATCTAAAAAAAAAAAATAAAAAACAGTTATTTAATGATGGCTAATCAATATACTCAAATTGTCCTTTTTTATAAGTCTAAATTTTTTATAATGTTTCCTTGAATCAGGCTACATTTAGAGAGAACAGTGCAACTTAAAATTATCAAAGTTGTATGTCTAGGGCCTCCTTGGTGGCACAAGGGGTTAAGATGCAACCTATGAAGCTATCCACAGCCACAACAACATGAGTTTGATCCCTGGCCAGGGAGGGAGCAACCCACATGGCGCAGCAGACCTCTCCTGAGTTGCCCGCTGCTCCCCTCAGCAGTGTATTTCAGTCATTCCACCTATTCTGTTCCCCACTCTGTCTCTGGTGATTCCTTTCACCCCCCCACCCCCACACCTCTGGCCTGTACCCCAGTTCTTGTATGCATAAATAAATAAATCTTTAAAAAAAAAGTTGTATCTCTAAAAAAAGTAAGCAATGTTATTATTGTTCACTTTCACGTTAGATCGACTATATTTCCATATATTTTTCTTGGTTAATTCATGAGCGATTACTACCTTAATGGTGGGTCATAAGAAGAAGTCACAATTTTGGAAAAGCTTTAACTTGTATTTAAATACAATTGCATTATCACTACTTTAGGGAATTGAGTAAGACTTGAGTGCTTTTGCTCCATTAGGCAATTTAGAATATCTCAGACCTTGCTGTGGACTTTTAAGATTTTTGAAGTTCAAAGCAGATGTGTGAGGAAGAAAAAACATCTGGTGAAAGAGAACTTGCTTCATTGCGTGATGCTGTTTTCCTACACTCTTCAGCAGAGCGTCTGTTGAGCAGGTTGGCAGGTTGAATAATTAATTAATGATGAGGGAATGAGCCATCTATCTGAGGAACTCAATTTTGCCCCTTACTGCTTCTTTCTTCCCCACATGTCTGGCAAAGTCTTCAGAGCCTAGGATCACTGATCCCACAGTTGTGTCTCAACTCAAACACTTGTCTTCAGACTTAATTAGCTCAGAGATATAAACAGATGGATGGCCTGGGACCCAGAGGTTTCGTGTTGAGCAATGCAATTTTATTACCGGGACTTTGGAAATTTTTGTTGGAGAAGTGCATCAAATTTTTTTTTTTAATGCCTTTTTTAAAAAGCTTAGAGTGTGAAAATGTGTGCTTGTAGATAAGGGAGTTTTGTGTATATGTGCAAATGTGAATTTTGCTTTGGTAAGTTTTTTTTAGATATAATAGTAAACTAACAGAAAAAGCTATGAGCTATGAGAACAGAGTAGTTTACTTAACTTTACCCATTGTTTTCATTTTCCCCCATTAACTTCTCTATCCTTACTCCTGGCTCCCTTCCTCTTCCCTTTACACAGAGAAACATACACACACACACACACACACACACATACACACCTTCAAAAACAAATTTGTTTTCTGAGCTATTTGAGGAGAAGATGGAGGTATCAGACAACTTTACTCCTAATATTTCTGTTGTATGTATTAAGAACAAGGTCAGTCTTCTAAATAATAATATTAAAGTTTTCAAAATCATAAAATATAATACTGATGCAACACTATTATCTATTCCATAGTCCCTTTTCAAATTCCATCAATTGACTCAAGTGTCCTATATAACATCCCCTACCTCCTAGTCCAGGATCAATTCCAAGGCAACACATGCATTTAGTTGTCATGTCTCCTTTAAATGAAAATAATTTCTCAACTTTGTGTTCTTTGTATTTTGACATTGTTGAAGAGTTCAACTCGGTTATATGGTAGAGTTCCTAAATAAGGTTTGTGTGAGTGCATGCAGTTCTTATGCTGAATTTTTGGCAGAAATACCACAGGAGTGTCTCAGGATGTCTCAGGCACATAGTGTTGATTTATTCCTTAATTGGTGTTGTTAGCTTCAATCATTTGATTAAGGTGAAGTACATTAGGTTATTCCTAAGTGAACCACACTTTTCTCTTTATATTTAATAACAATTTGAGAAGAGACACTTTAAGACTATGCAAATAGCCCATTATTATTCAAATTTTCACCCACTAGTTTAGCCATCATAATGGTTTTATAATTGTTATTTTTTTATTTATTAGTTGGCATTTTGCTGCAAGGAAAATTTTTTTCCTCTTCCCCATTGATTTACTCATTTGTTTGCATCAGTGTAGGCTTGTTCGTTCTTGTTTTGCTCAGTGATGATAATTTATTATCTAGCAAAACAAGATGTTGCAGATTCATTTAATATTTTCTTGTGTCCCAGCCTGTAATCAATATTGTCCAATCCTGGTCCCTTTTCATGGAGAATGGTATTTAGAAATCAAGACTCTCTCTCTCTCTCTCTCTCTCTCTGTGTGTGTGTGTGTGTGTCTGTGTGTGTGTGAGAGAGAGAGTGAGCAAACTATATTGCAGAATATTACATTTACTAAATCATTGTACATGATATGTATAAGTGTGTGTGTGTTTAGTGTTACAAATTTCAAACAGAAGAACATTTATTTTACATGTAATAATCATAACTTTTGACAAGAAAGAAATACATTTTTCATTTCACAGTAAATGGCATTACACAGTTTTGAGTACTAAATCATGTTGACATTTATGAAGGGGCAAATGGAGAATAGGGAACTGAGTGTGTTAAATATAAAGCTATCTTTAACTGTTCTATTAAAAAGCAAAGATTTATTTTCCATCTGTGATCTGAATGTGCCTATTTGTGTTCTCTTCATGGCAGTTGAATTTCTGTGGAGCCACACGACAGAGAGCATGTGTGTCGGATATATGTCAGCCCAGGATGGGAAAGCCAAGGTAAGTGGAGAAACTGGAGCATGACCTGAAAACCTTGTAGCCATTGCATGAGCCTCTAACTGGCTAAATCGATAGGAACGAGTTTTTCAACCTTCCATGGATAGTAGCTCTATGATCTTTATGATCAGATTAAGAACAATAAACAATCCCAAAGAAAAACAGCAGGTTTTTTTTTTCTTTTGATGACAGAGCAGGGATGACTAGAAAAAACTTCCCTCCCAATTTGTCCCTTTTTGTCCGCTGTGATAAATGGAAAAGAGGAAACAGGGGTTGGGAAAGATTAAGTGGGAGTGAAGCTGATGGGCCAACGGGACTGGATTATTTTGCAAAGATTATTGGAATAGAAAAAGGAAAGCAAGGCAAAGTATGCTGACCACCTGAACAGACCCTGCATGTGTAAGGACAGAGTGGCTGACATGTTCGCAAGTATGGACTGACTGTGTTCTGGAATACACATGGTGTCCTCGTGGACAGAGTCAAAAGTTCTGTGCTTCTTGGCCATTTGCAATCATGTGGCATGTGTCCCCTCAGTGAGTCACAACAACCATAGAGAGATCGACACAGTGCTTCTTGAGCTACTTGGCTTCCCTGCACATATGATGAATGAATGTAGGAGTAAGAAACAGAATTTTTGGATTTTATTTAAAATACAGCAGCTGCAAAGCTGTGACTTTGGGTAGGTAGCCTCTTTTTTTAAAGGACATGATTTATTTTGCATATTAACAAAATAAGAAATGTAAGAAATAATAGTTGCTTATTTACTATATAACCCCCTTCCAGACTGACCTGAATATTATGCAGCATGTCAGTAGTGTCACAGACTTCTGTGAGCACAGTGTAAGAGTATTTCACCAGATAAGAATTGGCTTGCATTTATGAAAACATTACTGAGCTCCCCCTCTCCTTTGTCGTACCCTCACCTAACACAATATTCACATTGTATTAGTCAATTTATTTCACACGAGAATGCGTAAAGATTGCTTTCTTGTTTAGTATATTGAGAAGGAGAATTATAATTGCCTATTTTAAAGGTGATATATGGGTTTAGAGCAGCACTAAGAATTTTCCATGATGATGGAAATGCTTTAAATTGATATTTATGTTGTGTCATCCAGTAGGAGAACCACTAGTCATATGTGGCTGTTGAGCTCTTAGAATGTGGCTAGTATGCCTGAGAAACAGAATATAAAATTTTACTTGTTTTTATTTTTAACAGTCACATGTGACCAGTGGGTACCATATGAACAGCACAGGTTTAAAGTATAAGTGGAAAAATGATTATTCAAGTATTTTCAGAACATTCTTTCCCTCCCAGTGACAAACAGCTCACACATATAAAATAAGCCTGATCAGCCCCAAGAATCCTTGTATAAGAATGGTTTGTCGTCATTTAAGATTCTCTCACCTTTTACAAGTTGACTCTGAACTAATATTGCTTTTAACAAAACAATGTACTTGAGATGGACTTTAGTACTGAAGCTGGTCTGGTGTGGTATGGTCATGTTATTAAGTCCCTTGTGAGGAAGTGTTCTAGTTAACCACTGCTGGTGGTCTGTGGAAGACACCATACTATTTAACATGAAATATGGGTAGTTAGAGAGGGGCGAGTCCTGCATTGAGCCCAAAGATGTTTGGCCTCCAGTTGCATTGCTTGACATCTGGTCGATGTGGTTTTCATATTGCTGGTAAATTCTCCAGCTGGTAGTCTTGATTGGGCCAACAGATACAGCTGCTCCTCTTGCCTCACTTGTAAATTATGTTTTTGACCTTCATTGCAGAGAGTTAATCCCTCTCCTTTTTTTCCTCCTTTGAGCCTGTGGCTGCAAATGCTTTCCAGAAGGGGGGAAAAAGAACCCCAACACTAATGCTTTGGCTGCTGAATTCTATTGATCAAAAAAAAATCACCTCTGCTGTCATAAAGACTGGAATTTTATTGTATTGCAAGTAAGACAAAGTTATAGATGAGAAGCTGTGCTCAAAAGAGAAAGGGGACTATATCAAAGTTTGTACTCTTTTTTATGAGAGCAAGCCTTTGACCTACCCCTTGACTTCTGTGAAAGAAATATTGAACTAGTGACATACCCATTCAGCATGATGACTGGCTCTCACGTAATCTTGAGGTTAAACGAAAGAGCAATATCTTTTAAAAACACATTTCTTAGTTAAAAATTATTTTTATTTTTTTTTTTTTTTTTTTTTTTTTTTTTTTTAAAGATTTATTTATTTATACAAGCACTAGGTACAGTCAGAAGCGCGGGAGGGTGAGAGAATTCACCAGAGCCAGAGCAGGGAGCAGAGCAGGCAGAAGGACCAAAGTGACTGCTGAGGGGAGCAGCGGGAGGCAGGAGAGGTCTGCGCGCCATGTGGGACCCTCCTCCGGTGGCCGGGGAGCAGCCAGGGATCGAACCAGCGCTACAGAGGCTGACGGGCAGCTTCGCAACCCAGCGCTCAACCGCTGCGCCACCGGGGAGGCCCTAAAAATTATTTTTAAAAGGCTGTTTTTTATTTGCCCTGCTTTCCAAAAAAATCATTCTTTCTGCTTGTTATCAAATCAGAAACTAAAGCACTTGGCCATATGAACATTTTTATATAAACTAGTTATATTTAAATAAGTTAAAGCCTGAATTGATTTAGAAAAAAACTGTTTCCATACCTTAGCTATTGTAAATAGTGCTGCTATAAACTGTAATAATCAATAGCTTTGTAATCAGAATCCACATATAATTTGAATAGAGGTAGTTTTTTATAAGCTGCTTCTTTTTTAATAGAATATTCTTGCAATTATATAATTAAGTTTCTAAATCTCATCTACAGCTAAAGACATTTCTTTTTATTGAACTGAAATCAGGTTATTTATGCCAGTTGGCTTAAAGAATCAGATTGTCCATATCCTACCCAGATAGCAAATAGTTAATGAACAGTTTTTAATAAACATTCAGTGTACATGGACTACTATAATAAAAACAGATGTTAAAACTGGCATGGAACTTATTCAAGTATAATAAGTGAAACCTGTTTCTTTTACTATATAGAGGTCACTTCATGTAGCAACAATAAAAATATTGTATAAAAATGCATCCTTGAGGAGGAGCAGACTATTTTATGGTCTTACAGTGTCTCCCCACATATTTATTATTAGTTACAGGGGAAAATAATAACTATTTAATAGAGAATCCAGGCAACAACTTGCCCATGTGATTGAAATTAATGTCACCAATGAGGGCAGATGAAATCTTGTGCGTTGGATGTGATAACCAGAGAAAGACTCAACATCACTTTTGTAGTATCCCATCTGGACATACATAATCTAAGTCTAATTGTGAAGAAATAGATCTAAAATGAGGAACATTCTATGACGAAAGAAAAAAGAATTTATAGGATACAGCGAAAAACTTAAAAGAACTATATCCTTAAATGGTATAATAGAAAGATTTTAAAACAAATAAGTTAACACTTCCATCCTTAGAAGGCTTTAAGAGGAATAAATCCAAAATAAAAATGATACACAGATTAAAGGTAAGTAAATACAGAAATGTGGAAAATAACAACAAAAAAATGAGAACAATTAGCAAAGCCAAGAGTTGGTTGTTTGAAAAAAAAATAAAATTGTCATGAGGAAATAAAAAATAATAAAATTGCTGCAAAGAAATAAAATTTATTATGATGATCACGAAAGAAAGGTAATGAAATACAAATTACCAATGTCAAGAATAAAGAGAGATTTGTCAATGCAGCATCACAGATCTTACAGACATAAAAAGAAAAGGTGGGGCCTCCCCGGTGGCGCAGCGGTTGAGCGCTGGGTTGTGAAGCTGCCCGCAGCCTCTGCAGCGCTGGTTCGAGCCCTGACTGCTCCTCTGGAGGGCCCCACATGGCGCGCAGACCTCTCCTGCTGCCCACTGCTCCCCTCAGTAGTGTACTTCGGTCCTTCTGCCTACTCTGCTCCCTGCTCTGACTCTGGTGAATTCTCTCACCCTCCCGTGCTTCTGACTGTACCCACTGCTTGAATGAATGAATGAATAAATAAATAAATAAATAAATCTTTAAAAAAAAAAAAAGAAAAGGTGATGTTTGAACAATTTTATCACAATAAACTTAGGAAGAAATCTTAAGTCCCTTGGGAAAAAAACAACTAGAAAATTGGAATAACAATATACATACAGAGGGTATATCCCAAGACCCCCAGTGGATGCCTGAAATTGCATATAGTACAAGACAGTATAAATACACAATTTTTCCTATGCATACATATCTATGATAGTTATGATAAAATTACTGATTTAGAATTGAAAATCTAGCATTATTGCATGCATACACACAATACAAAAACAGCATAAAGCACACCAAGTAAAGTTTTTCTGAGAAATGTATAATTAAATTAAAATTTAGAAATCATTGTTAACAAATGATCCTGAAACATATGGATATTGGTTTGCAAAAGAATAATATCGGGCCATTTTTCATATCATATGTAAAAAGTATGTCAGAGTGGATCAGAGATCAAAATGTAAGAGTTGAAAGCATACATTTCCTAGAAGAAAAGAAGAATAAATCTTAATGATTTTGGGTTAGGTGAGGGTTTCTTAACTGTTGCCCCTGAAGCACAAGTAACAATAGAAAAAATAGACATCATCAAAATTAACACCTTCTGTGCTTCAAAGGATATGTCTTCAAGACAGTGAAAAGACAACCTACAGAATAGAAAAGAGTTTGGAAAATCATATATTTGGTAAGGGTTTTATATCTAAAATATAGAAAGAATTCTTACAACTCAACAAAATATTGGCAAGGTATTTGAAGACATTTCTTTGAAGAAGATATATATATATATATATATATATATATATATATATATATATATGGATTGATCAACTGTTCCATAAGATATAGATATGCAATTAGTACATTTAAAGATGCATGACATCAGTGGACATTAGGGAAATGTAAAAACCACTATTAGATATAACTTCGTATTCACCAAGATAGCTATAATAAAAAAG